ATATGTAACAAGGGCATGTTTACATTGTTGAACCGCAGTCAAGCGGGGTGAGACAAACAATTCCATTCCCACGGCCCGCGTTTTGGCATGGCTGGATTCACATTACATCACATCACAGTCATGCACCTATTACAAGATCAGATGACAACGGAACCCAGAATAACTTGGATATTCCCAACCACGCCACCCGAGACACCACGTTGCCTCCCTCCCCTCCATCGTAGCTACACCAAATCGTAATTCATATACAGTCACAACCTCCAAAAAAAGATAAATATTGCGCTATGCTCAAGGGGGATCATGATGAAAATAACCAAAAAAAAACAGCAAAAGTAGAGGAACAGGGCGAGTGGGTGGTCTACAAGAGCCAAGAGATGAACGTCTTGTAGAACCAGCTCGCATCCTTGCCATTGCTGTTTGCTTTCTTCATCGCCGCATGAGCCAGGAAAGCCTCTTCCTCGCGGTCAATCTCGCCCTTGCCTGTGTAAAAGTCTGCCTCGTGGGGCTGAACCATCTTGGACTTCATGAAGAATTTGTAGCCGAAGATGCAGCCGAGGTAGATGGGGATGCCCTGAAGGTTCTTGGTTAGTATAGAAAAAAAAATCGGCGAAGATGAGCAGGGATTGGAAACTTACAAGGTAGCCAGTGATGAAATTCTTGTAGTCAAAGTTGCCATACGAACCCCTTGTGAAGACGGAGAAGTTCTTGGTCAAGGCAATGAGGATGCAGAAGAAGAGGGCAATGTACGACCCTGTCAGGCCGAGTGGTGCCGTATACGCCAGCTGGTCCTTGGTGATGCCCTGAGCATTGCGTGCGCGGACGAAGAAAATGTGCGATACCAGGAGGGAGATCCAGGAGAGAAGTCCGAAGATGGTGGTGAGGTTGACAAAGTAGCCGAACACGACTCTGGCGTCGTCGGCAGCGTTCATAAAGGCGGTGCAGCAGAAAAAGGCGGAAATCAGCAAGGCAGGCACAGGTACACCGCGCTTGTCGGTCCAGCGGAAGATCTTGGGAGCGTGGCCTTGCTCTG